TTGTGTCTCCCAGTGTTGGCTAATCGAGCTCTGTGGCAGTTCAGGGGGATGATGCTGTGCACCTTACCTGACAGCTGGCCGCTGCTGGACTATGCCGACTACGGCTGCTACTGTGGACTGGGAGGATCTGGCACACCTGTTGATGAGCTTGACAGGTAACACGGCTGCAGTTATTTGTTGTGTCCGCTGATGTTCTCTGTTCAGGTGCCCTAACCTGAGCACCAGTCATGCTGTTGTTTGGACAAAACAGGATATTTTGAAGACTTGGACTCATTTATGGGATAAAAAAAAAAAAGATATTTCTTAACATCTTCTAGACTAAACAACTAATGGAAAACCAAACTCACAGATTATTTGATAATTAAAGTAATTTGTGGTTGCAGTTCTGAGGTGCTGTTTGTGTGTGTTGTAGCTGCTGTCAGGTCCATGATCGGTGCTACACTGAGGCCTTGCAGCACGATGAATGCTGGCCCATATTCGACAACCCGTACACTGAAATATACAGTTACACCTGTGACGAGGCCAGCAAGACGGTCACCTGTCTGAGTGAGTGTTCAACAACAACCTGTAGCCGTTTAGCCACTAAGTTTCTTGTGATATTGCACTTAGTGCTTGGAAATCGCACAAGAAATTTTCGTTCTTTTATGCATAGCAATCAGTTCTTCAGTGACCAGTGTGTAGGACTTACTGAGATGTATCTGTTTTGTCATTTGTGGATAATAAACTGCAACTACAAATAGTTGTGTTTCACTGCACAGTGCCCACTGGAAACTGGGTTTGCTCTACGCATGTGGAAAAATGCAGCTGCTTCTTGTTACTGAAAAAATAAGGCCAGAATGAACAACCTTGGCCTCTGATTAGACAAATTTGGGAGAGATTTTGAAACCTGCTCAAACATTCTCACCTGTAGCACAACTAAATTAGATGCAATCACAAATGTTACAGCCTTTTCAGTCATAGTGGCACCAGGGGATCTCTTCACTGAATGTGTTGCTCTATGCATAAGAGCTATAGTCCAAGAAGCAGAACTGCTTTGGTTCTCATTATCTTAAAAAAAAAGAAAAGCAAAAGTAAACATGTTTCCACAGAGGCCCAGATCTGGTCTGACTCACCAGATGTAGACTGTTGGTATAAACCTGCCATTTGTCACATTTCATGTGGCTTTCAGGATGACTGTGACTGGTTTAAGGAAATGCAAACAAGCCAGAGTGTTATATCCATGGAGGAATGATAATTCGTGTAGAATTGCAGAATGGTCTGATAATACAAGACTACCCAGAACAGACAAACCAAACAGTGACTTTGGAGAGGGCATCCTGTGTTTTTATGTTGAAGTGGCCGCTATAGTCCTACACACTGGTCCTTTATAATTATGTGGAGAATGGATTAAAAAAATGTTTGTTGGTTGATCCCTCTATTTCCTATCCCACCTCTCTCCCCCACTCATCTGTTGCTCTCCTCTGTTTTTGTCATTTAGATAACGATCCCTGTGAGAAGTTTATCTGTGAGTGTGACAGGAAAGCAGCCATGTGCTTTGCCAAGGCAGAATATAATGAAGAAAACGCCCACCTTCCTAGCGATCGCTGCAAGTAAACTCAGGAGCACAGGGATATGTAGTCATGAAGAATTCGTTTTGAAACAAAGTCCTCTATGCAGCTTCCACCAAAATATGGCTGAATCAAATGCTTGTCCGCTTGAGTGCAGCCAATTTCCTAAGTACAGAACAATTGCTTAATCTGCAGCATACTGTGTGAACAGACTAACATTTCAACACTCCTGAGTCTTTCTCACAGTCAGAGTGGACAAAGACAAGATATGTTCAACATAAACCAAGTATACATTATTCACTGGATAATTTTATGATGAATTCAAGAGTTTCCATAGTCAGTGGAGAAATACTTCTCCAGCACTGAGGAGTATGCTGCTATTTATAATCAATAAAGTAAAACAAGTGGTTTTTGTTTTGTTTTTTTGTTTTTTTCATATTTACTGCTTTATTGTCCAATAAAATCCTTACAGACAAGCATTCAAGTTTCATGTCTTTATGTGATACACACTCAATTACAAATCAGTAACATCTTTTCACATTGTGTTGGGTCTGTCCTGTTGGTGAGAGGTCCACTGTCTCTCACAACCTGGATTCACAGATGTACCTGTACGACAGTTTACAGTCCGCATCATTCCACAGCTTGCGTTTGCGTGTGATGGAGCCATGAATCTGTCCGCAGTCCTCTCCGTTCACTCTGTAGTCCCAGTCGTCAGGCTGACCTTCATCCCAGTAACTGAAACCAAACACAGGAGGGAAGGGAAGCAGTGATGTTACAGGTGTTGATCACTCCACGACCCCGAGCTTCTTCAATTTGTCTATTTGCATGTCTTTCATTTCTCTTACGTTTGGGTTGAGTCAAAGTTGGTTCCATCCACCCAGCTCCAGTGCCCCTCATGCTCCCGCTCCACAAGTCCAATCCAGTAGTTATATCTGATTTCAACAATTTTTGAAATGTAGTCCTACAATATAAAGACAACAATGGGTTATTTTTAAGCCTTTGTTAAATGTGTAAGTCTTTTGCTGTGTGTGCACTGCCTACAGGGCACACTGATACACTGGAGTCTCACAGTAGAAGATTACGGATGTGGTACAGACCCAAATTTAAAAAACCCATTTAATGCTTTTGGGGTTTTTCCCTTTCCTTTAGCGTGTTACAGTTATTTGTGCACGTAAAGATCTGCAAACTTACAAAGCCCAGAGTGCACATCAAAGGCAGTTATTCCATCTCACAGAAAACACTGTTTATTACCTGACTGAACAACTGGTTTGTCTTCTTTTATTTATTTTTGTCATCATGTAGCACACTTGCATAACACCTGCCTGGCAGCTAGTTTGAATGAGCAGCTTCATTGTCGTCTGCCATTATTTCCTCTTCATAGCTACTTCTGCTACTTCCCCTGTAACACTATAAATCTGGCATCACAGTACAGAACTGAGCTGACCGATCAGAGCAGACTGGACTTTTCAGGAGAGGGATCTTAAAGAGACAGGAGCTAAAACAGAGTATTTCAAACAGAGGGTGAGAAGAGGTGCTGCGGCAATGTACAGTATGAGAAAAATGGTGTGTTTTTATAACATTAAAGCATGTAAACATATTCTAGAAGACCCAAAAAATAAAATTATAAACCTGTAAATGTGCACAATATGAGCTCTTTAAACCTTACCAGTTCCTCCACGCTGTTCAGAACCACCAGGTGTCCTGACTCAGTCTTGCAGTGCTCCTCTGCTTTGCTCCAGGTTAAAGTGTTGCTGGATAGCATGTAGCAGCTTCTCTCGAAGGACGTCCATCCTTGTCTACATGTTCCTGGTTTGATGAGGATTAAAACAGTCCAGCTGATGAAACAGCACAGAATTCTGATTTTGCTGAAATTAAAGTATACAGTTTTTACCTCTAATTGGGGACAGTTTCTCTAAAAGGACCTCTTGCACTATTGCTGAATCTGTAATATAAGAAGCCACAAAAACACCAAACAAAGTTTTTTAGAGGATGTACATGTTTTGGCTGCATCATTATATTCAGACCAGAAAGCACTTTCTTTAACCTGAACCTGAAGTTGTTCCTTGATGGCTGATTTTCTTAAGCTGGAGTTTGACATCCGAGATTTCCGTGTTTAACTGGGAGACTTTGAAAAAAGAAAATGGTTCTGATTATCATATTAGAATAATATATCAGTAAGCCAGTTTCAGTTTATTGTTGTGTGTTTAAAGCCGTACATTTTACCCCAGTTACCATCAGCAGAATCAACATGAGCAGCAGCAGGACGGCATAAAGGATATAAACCACTATCTTCTTCAAACCTGTAAAACATTGGAACACATTTTCATTGTTTATGGTGACATCTGAAAGTACTAAATCCAAATCACTTAACGTGTAATTTTTACCTGTAGGCATTGGGATTGTGCGCCTTTCATGGACGGATCCGCTTTCAGGCGAACCAAACTGGTGATACTGAGAGTCCATGACTGAAAAAGATCAGTTTGTTGTAGACAGATCGATTTTTTAGGTACTTAAATGCTGTTAACGAGATAAATTATTCTTACCAGCTGTAGAGTTGTCATTTGCAAGCATTTTCGTGACAATCAGATATTCAGTCCAGACAGTCAGACAAATTAAGTTCACAGTAGATAAGAGTTCAACTCTCTTGTTTGTTTTTAGGCTACATATGTTAACTATTAACAGCTCAATTTGTTTTTTTACTTCTGGCATTATATACCGTACAACATACAAACATTTTCAGATGTACAAGTATACAGTAAATTCGACCAAATCCTTAACTGATTTAAATTATTCTATACTGTACATGTCTTGTCTTCATTATCTTGAATATCTGATGTATAATTTATTACTCAGTGATTCATGTGCATTTCTGCACAATTATGAAATCCTAGACATACAGGGAATAAGACAATATCTCATTCTCTTCATGTCATGTTCCCTACATGTTAGCATATCAAGTCCGACATACCATGCCAATAAAACTTATCGCTTACCTTGATAGAACCAGGGTATCTCTGGATTTCTCTGCCTGGACTCTGACCATGTAATCACAGAACGTCCTCCCCTTTAAAGAGAAACACATTTCAGTTACAGGAAATGTTTGTAATGTGCCTATAAATATTGAGGGCTTTATTAATCATTGTTTTGAGTGGAGTGAGGTTGAGAAGAGAATGCAGGTGATATGGCAAGTTGATGATATAGCTATTGCAGCACAAAGTTGCACTAATTCATTTCCTTTAAAAAAAAAAAACAACTAAATATTGTAAATTGGAATTGTATCCATGTGCCTTCTTTTCCCTTTGTAGGTTGTTTTAGAAGTCTAAAGAAGTAAACTGTGTTTCATTAGAAAATGACTAGGATTCATTTTTTTTCTTATTATAAATTACATGAGGTTTAGAATCGTATCACAACCCCTTATGTGTGACCTGAACCCCAGTTTGGGAGTTACTGCCTGAGAATGTGCAGTGCAGATTTTTTATTTTATTTTATTTTTTTTACTAAAGATTCATGATATTCAGAGTATCAAATATGTTGATAAATTTCCACTCATGCTGGCTGATTGCCGATACAGCTTTCAATATAAATATTCCCCCCACCTAATTACAGAGAACATCAGGCCTCTCCTGTAGTGGAATCAACATAGTATTACACCTTTTCTTATCATGGTGGCCCACTGGCAGGTGCAGACATATGGCACAATTCTTCTCAGTTGTTCACATTATTAGACAGATTAGGAAAGTTACTTAAACTTACATATAAAATATGCCATTTTTATTTTAACCTTTTTAAACAAAACTGTAAACTTTTAGCCTGGCAGACATGATCAGCAAATGTTCACTTTGGGCCAATACCTAAATTTATTTTAAAGCCTTTTATCGACTGCTACAGATGACATGTTATTATCATTATGTATCTCTAATTTGTACAGAACAATTCAGAACAGCTGAACTCTAATTCAGTCACACTGCCAAAGCTTGTTTTGTACAACTCTGTCCTGTGTTACATAGGGCACACCAGACTTTGTGTTTGCTATTTATGTTGGTGGTCATAGTATTTAGAAAATGTTATGTTCTTTCTTATTGATATTTTTAACAGAACATTTGTTATATCTCATTAAAAAGTTGTGTTTCCTGTCCCCTTTTTTTAACAATGAAAACTGGACTGGTTAAATAGGAGTATAACAAGCCTACATCCACAAACATGGACATTTCTCTTAACCAAACACAGGTTGCACACAGTCCATCTATACATCTCTAACAAAACACACAACCACGAATAAGAGACAGACAAACAAAAGAGACTACATGAACTATAATATAATTATTACCTTTACTTTTTACTGTTATATTCTAGCTTATGTATTTTATTTCAGCTATGTATTGTACTCGTATCTTATTGTTTTTCTACTTTTTAGGCGCTGCATATCTTATGCTTTGTCATTTGGGAGAAGTATTTCCTTCTGGATTAATAAAGTTTTATCTTATTTTATTTTAATATGTTTTAAGTGCATTTAGTGAATGTGAAAAGTGTGTTTTGCTACCGTCTCCATTTTGTCTCAGCATGAAAACAAAGTTCCTCTCATCCCACCCAAACACATGAGATATCATTGGAAAGGCCAAGAAGGGAGGAGCAAGACTTCATAGCTGAAATGAGTCAAAAGATACAGATCAAAAACAAATGTTCACTACACAGGACATAAATGAATAGACTGGGTCTCAATCTGTATGCAACTTGCTCAAATGTAGCCACTTTTGTCAGCACATCTACAGTCGTCATTTATACCCTCCCATTAAAAAAGGAAAAAACAGCTAATAAGTTGAAATTGACAAAAGTAAGAATAAATACAAATCTATGAAAATCATGGAATTGCTTTTGAATTGTGATTCAACAGAAATATATTTTTTAAACAAAACAAACAAACAAGCAAACAAGCATGATGGGACCCAAAAACTAATATTTTGTTGAACAATCCTTTGACGCAATCAAGTGTTTTCTGTAACTCTCAATTAGACTTCTGCACCTGTTGACAGGTATTTTGGTTTTGACCCACTGCTCATCAGCAAAGTGCTCTAATGTGTCCTTTTTTTTTTTTTTTTTTTTTTTAAATTCTTTTCTACCACAATTCAAAAGCAACGTCTTATTTCACAAAAATATAATTTAGCAATGTTTTATTTATTATTACTTTTTAAAGTTTCTAGCTATTTTAGTAATTATTGTGAATTTTGCCTTTTCTTTAATGGAAGGGTATAAACACATTTAAGGATTTATACCTTGAACCAACACTGACTAGCTGATTTCCACTATCTTAATATTATTGTTCTTATTCTTGTTCTTCAGCTGCTGTGACACTTCATTTATCCATAAAAGTATGAGTCGAATTCTCATTGCCTTGTGCTCTGATTTGTCATGTTTCAGTGTCTGATCCCCAAAAGAAACACCCTTGTATTTCCTGTGCACAGCGGGCATGAGAATCCTTCCTGAAAGGTAAAGTTGGGCCTAATCAGAATATTATCATAATATATAAAATGGCTGCCAGAAACATTAAACTTAAAAAGAAAAACATGTGACATTTTTGTGTTTTTTAATCTCAGTCAGCAGGAGGCACTTCTTGAGGATGTGCACACAGATATCCCAGTCCACTTCAACTTCCTCTTCTCTGATTCCCATGTAGAAGTGATTTCTGGAAAACAAGACGGTGAATACATGGAAAAATGAGCAATGAGTGTTTTCTAGTAAAGTCAGTTGCTGTCTTTTTGATATTCAAGATTCAAGAAATCATTTTGATATTCATTCATCACTTCATGGGCACTAAAGCACCGAAATTAGTTGGATGTAAGATTCAATCCGTATTTTAGACCTGCTTTTTTAATTTACATCCAGTGCAGCTTTGTAGACGCTGATGAAAGTTGACGTAATAACTTTGAAACTTGTGTTGGTTTTAGGTGTCTACGCATGGATTGGAATAAACTTTGTCCTTGGAAGGTTTAACCATGTGCACAATGGTAAGGTCCCAAGCAGGTAATAATTTCGTAATGTTCTATTAGATACGGTCTATCTTGTTTTGCCAATAAGCAGCTGAAGTATCGAATGTTAGTTGATGCAAGGAGACTTAGAGAGAATGCAAGTAACACAGTAATGACGTGATGTACCTTCGATGCCTTTCTCTGCGGTGTATCGTACAAGATGGGGAAGCTGTAGTGGAGGTGCATGTTCCAGGCAACGATCAGCAGGAGGCGCTGATGAGGAAATTATATCTTGCATATCTGGCTTGTTTCGATTTTGCTATCTGCAAAGGCTTCTTTATTATTCACTGCGGGGTTTGTGAACTCGGGATCGAGTGCTTGGTTGCACACATGTGTATATGGAAGAATATTATCCCCATAGATATGAAACTCTTGTCATCTTGACCTTCAACACTGCAGAGAAACACAGGAGTTGTCACGGAAAGTAATGCACACAAACATCTGCAACCCAAAGACACTTGACAAACAAAAAAGATTGCACTTTGTCAAGTGTCTGTGTGTGTGTGAGTGTGTGTGTGTGTGTGGGTGTGTGTGTGTGTGTGTGTGTGTGTGTGTACCTCGTGTTAGTCTGAGTACCCTCAAGACCCTTAGGATGTTGGGACTGATTGGAATTACATGCGCCATTTACATCTCGCTGAAAATGATGCTGATGATGGAAGTCAAGACGACAGCAACATCCAACAGATTCCATCTAAA